CTGGCCCTGGGCGCGGCGGCGGCGGCGCGGCAGGCAGGTGCCCGGCACGACTCCCTGTCCCATTCAGCACTTTGCCATTCCCTCCTCGGTTTCCCTCGAACGGGAGAGCCCGGCTCAAATATCAGAGCCGGCCCTCCCGAGGAGCGCAGGAACTGACATCACCCGCCCCGGGCTTTTAACCCCTTCTCGGGCTCGGCGGCGAGGCAGGTGGGGCGGGCGGCGCCGGGTGCCGGGGCGGCCCGGCCCAGAGGAGAAGAGCGGCAGCCACGCTCTGCCGCGGGTGGAGGCATCCCCCTCTCCGCCCACCCTGCACCCTCAGGGCCTGCCAGCGAGTCTCCTGAGATCCTCCTTGCAGTTACCTTCCAGCCCTCGGAGCCGATGTTCCCAAACAGACCGCCAGAGTTGTGATGTTTTTTCGTGGAGCAGCCGGGCAGGGAGCTGGCATCCACACCAGCACGCTGCCCTCACCGCACACTGCAGCCGTGAGGGGCTGGTGGCTCGTTCCAGGCTCCGGCTGAAGCACCCTTCACTTCTTGTAGGCAGTCCCAGGGCATGAGGTTGGTGCCGGGATAGAGATTAAAATCTAAGTAGTGTAATGACGCCTCTCCTGACCAGAGGACACCATCCTGCCCCACGAACTTGTGCCATCTCCCAGATGAAATGGCTCAAACAAACAGGTCCAGGGCCTCAAGCATTTCTAATGATAGCTGCCAGCACACAGAATATTTTATTCAGTCATCAGGCCACCACTTATAGAGCTACTTCACATGCAGCAATCCCTTACGTGAATATATAGTGACTTACCGGAATTTATATTACGTGTGTTATACAAAGACCTGGTAATCTCGCTGCCTGTTGGGGAAGGGCTGCACCAGAATGATGATGTCCTGAGCGATTATGAGAGATCCACGAATGCTCTGAAACTGTACCTCGGCTCCTGTTGAGACCTCACACAAATGAGCTCTTGCAAAACAAGGCAGGCTGAAATAAACAGGCTTCAACAATCTGTGGAGGAAAAGGCAGGAGAACTGAACAAAAGTATCTCCTAGTACAGTAAGCAACACTATTCACTAGTCCTGGCTAAACAAGATCTTAATTGTTCTGCTTATTAAACTTGCATTGTAAATTCTTTCCTCGTGTTGATAG